AAGTGCCTAGAGGGTGTCTGCATTGCCCTGAGTGTAAAAAGGGACCATCAGGGTATCTGAAGTTTGGGAGCTGAGTCCTAGGAAGAGAACGAGATCTTGGAAAGACTACAAGCCAGCGTGCTCTTCATTTTGTTTTATGTGGGCTGGACCGTAGGGTCTTCCCAAGGTGGACAACTTTTCGAATATGTTGGAGCTGTTCTGACCTCTGTGGGCTCCGACTGTCAATCATCCTTTAATGTGAGAGAGGCCTGGTGCATCCCCAGGACTGGGGACACAGAGCACAGGGAGGTGACTTAGGGCCATCATTGGGGTGATAAGTGGCAAACCCTGGCAGAAAGAACTGCAGGGCACAGTTGCTTCCCACCGTGGGGCCAGGACAAGGTTGTGGACACCTCTGCCGTTGGCCTGTCTACAGTACTGCAGCAGATGAGCTCCACCGTTACAATCCAGGGCCGCTGCTCTGTCCCAATGGTAAGAAGTAAGTGAAGGATGGAGCGTTTTCTTGCAAGGCCATAGGTTGGGAGGGAATCACCCTCCTGTCTGCCCTGCTTTGGACAATTTGGTCTGCTTCCTCTCACAGTATTTTGCCTTTTCAGGGTGTCCCTCTAAGGATGAACTTAGCCTCTGGCTCACAGGAAGAAAATTGAGCACTTGGGGTGGCGTGGGGTTCTCAAGGGACTTGGCCCAGAGCCGACTAGGTCCATAGTCCCCAGTCTTGGCGTGTCTTGTTCCCTGATGTGGCCCAGCTGGCCCTAGAGCAAACAATGAGGGCCAGAGGCCACGCAGGTGCATCCTGGGCAGGAACAAAGGGCTGGGGGTAGGGTGGAGGAGTAAGCTGAGAGTGGAATTCTGGGACACGATTCGGGCTGAGGGGTTGGGACCTGGCCTTAAGGAAGGGTGGGCAGCTAAAAGGCTGCCTGAGGCTATGCGGGGAAACCAAAGCCCAGAGCTAGAAACCAGGCAACCAGGGACCAAGTGCGCTCTCAGGCAGGATCCGCTAGGAACAGGCTTTTACCCTCTGCCTTTGAACCCTTTTCAGGAAGGCCCAGGCTCCCGATTGATCTCAGCACCCGCGAAAAGCCCACATAACTAGGAAGGGAGTCAGACCAAGACCAAAGTGAACCTTTATTGCCTAGGAAGGCCTGAGTCAGCCTCTCGTGGCTCAGCACAGTTCTTCATGGCCATGTGGGCCTATAGAGTTGAAGCCAAGCCAGGCTCTGCCTTACTGTGGTGGCCTTAGGGCACAGTTTTCGTGGTGGGTTTCTACCCATCAGAACTTAAGAGTGAACTGCAAGGGCCACCAGCTTTACTTTCCTGCGGGCCGGTATTGGAAAGGAGGCCTTACTCCTTGGGTAAGACATTGCTACAGTACACCAGGCAAGACCCTCTACGGCAGCGGTTCCCAACCTTCTTAATGCTATGATCCTTTAATACAGTTTTTCATGTTGTAGTGGCCTCCAGCCATAAACCTATTTTCATTACTACTTAGTAACTAATTCTGCTACTGTTAAGAATCAGTGCAAATATCTGCTATGTCCAATGGCTTTAGGTGCCCCCCGTGAAAGGATCATTAGACCCATGAAGGGTTGCAACCACAGGTTGAAAACCAGTTCTCTAGAGGACTCCTGAAGTGTAAAGCAACCTCTGCTCTCCGCACTAGGAGCTACCGCTACATGCTACGGTCTGGTCCTGTAGCGCCTGCACTTCGAGACAGGAACTAGGCTGGAGATTTAAAAACATACAGAAACAGATATACAGGGACACGGGTCATCCTTGATGCAAGACTGCCCACTTTATTGGGTTCAGGGCTCTGGCCACGTCCCAGCTCTCGGGATCTTTCAGCTGCAACCACCAGAAATCACTCCCCTGTCTCGTGCTCAGAGCAGCTGCAAACACAGGAAAACAAGTTTTGCTCAAAGCAGCTGCAAGTTGTTTACAGGAAATTCAGGGTCTGGGGGTCTACAGTCCCCAACCGCTCCCCGTTTTCTATATAAGTAGCACTAATGTTCTTAACTGGCCCGAGCGTGGCTCAAATATGTAAAAAAGAGCAACGAACTAACCACATGCAAATCGCACAAGAAATCCAACTGCTCCTAAATGCTGGAAAACGCCCTAGCGAACATGCTCATTCTACGATCAGCATGAATGATAGTAAATGCTGGTGCTGGCTGCAAGATAGTTACAGCAGCCGTCCTGCTGATGGCAATTCCAGCTATCGCAAAGGGGGCCCGCAGCGGTGACAATAGGAGCCGCTCATGGTGATCCCGAAGTCTGGGCCAGGATGGTCGGCAGTCATCCTCAAACTCCAGATCCTCCTGCCTCTGCCTCCTTCAGCAAATCCTACTGGCGAGCGCTACCACAACTGGCCAGGGCTGTAGGTAGGCTCAGAGACCTTCGTGGCTACTGTGCGGGGTCCTCAGGTCCTGCCGGAAAGCCTGCTGCTCATGCTACAGCGCTACAGACTCTTGGGTGCACAGAGCTGGGAACCACCACCGCCTTCTCCTCGCCCAGCTGCAACCTTCTCCATTGAGGCGGCCCAGAGGGGTCTGAGCAGCTCTGGCTTGCCTCGGCTCCAGCACTTGTTGCCACGCTGATGCTCCTGGCACTACTGCTGTGTCCCCCTGGGCTCCATAACCTCTATTAAACAATTTTGGGAATTTGGGTGTCATTCTCTATACTACTTCCTGCTGTTTATTGGGCGAACTTTCTTTGGGGGGCATTCACAGCAACATTTCATGGGGTCTTGTTGCATCAAACCACATTAGCCTGGAATGAATCCACAAGTTCTCATCCTCTGTGGAAACAAAAGCAGAACCTCTTTTCTAAAGCCACAAATCCTTAGACCCATATTTTAAAGTCAAGATACCTTCCTTAGCAGAAGGAAATCAAATGTCTCTCTCCAGTCAAAAAACCAAAAGAAAATATACATCTGTGCACATTCTTCCATCTTTTCGAGTCTTCCTTTTTATCTGACTGTCTATACTCTCTTTAAAGACTCACTCTTTTTCTTCCATACGCATAGACACATACCCATCTTCAATCCACCCGCACCATTCCCGAGGGCCATCTCTCATTATCTCCCTAGTTCCTGTTGTCACCGAGGGCCTTGTACTGTCTGCCTATACTACGGGACAATTCAAGTTTGCGAGTCTCGAGCAAGGGCCTGGAGCTTTAAACACACAAAGACACAGATACAGAGAGAGACGGGGACACGAGTCATCCTTGATGCAAGAATGCCCACTTTATTGTGTTCAGGGCTCTGGCCACGCCCCAGCTCGGGATCTTTCAACTGCAGCCACCAGAAATCACTCCCCTGTCTCGTGCTCAGAGCAGCTGCAAACACAGAAAAACGAGTCGTTTTGCTCAGAGCAGCTTTAAGCAAGTTGTATGCAGGAAATTAAGGGTCTGGGGGTCCATAGCCCCCAATACTGGAGGAAGGTGCTGGGCCTTGGAATTGTAAGGGCTGGGAAGAGAAGCCTGAGGAAAAAGGAGGAACCCTCAGAACTGGGCAGTAGTTGACTTCTACTTCATGAGTCCCCATAACGCCTTCAGGGTGATTTTCAGGATAGTGTTCTCAGGACATAAGTCCGGGAGGATGGCACAGTTCAGGCATGAGGAGGACCAAAGCAAGCGTGCAGTGTCACCAGCTTGAGAATAGGCCCCAGCTTGGTTGTGTCCCCATTCTTAATCCTCTGGTAGCTGTTGGCAAGTCCCGGATGGTGGCTAAACAAACAACCACATCCCTGGAAGGCATATGGCAATGCATGCCTGTGCCAGAGCAGCCCCAGCAACTGGTTCTGCTTGATGAAGCCTATGGACTTCTTCACCTGCAGTGACAGTACCTCAGTCTCATGTGCTCCTCCAGGGGGTCTCGGGTTTAATTCACATTGCATGCAGGTCCCTACCCTAACCAGATCTACACATGTGCACAATACACGCATGCCCACTCTCGACCCTACAGTTACTGTAACACTAATAGAGCCTGGACTCATCCAATGGAAACAAGAGGCCAGACTTTGGAGGGATGAGCCCCGGAAAGCGACAATTACCATTTTACAGGCAGGCATTTGGCTTCTCCAAGGGCTAGGCACCTGCACACTCGCTGCCCACCTGTTTCTGTGATGGAGCAACGGGCTGCTTCTGAAGAATTGTTCCTTCACATACAGACCTTAGCCCTGGGGTCTAGCCTGGTTCTCAGCAAGCCTCTCCACACTTGCCTCTAGACGGCAGTCTGTAGGTTCCAGCAGGTTTCCAGAGAGGCCTTGGCCCTCAGTGCCTGGGTGTATGAAGGACTTCTGCTGGAAACAGATGGAGATTCGCAAATCCATCCAGAGACATGCGTCCAAGGCAGGCTTCGTCGTCCAGCCACCTCCAGAACCAGGGTAGTGAGAGGAGGGGATTCCCAGCCCAGATTTCTGAAAGTCCTAGTTAGTCTGTGGTGCAGACGCAACTCCCTTCTTGCTCTGTAGTGAGGATTGTGGGGAGGAGTCACGGTCCCGTAGGCGTCAGGGGTGAAAGAACAGAAAAGGACCCCGGTCTAAAGTCGGGTGTGGAGCGGTAGCTGGAGTAACAGCACCAGGGCAGCCTAGCTCCTATAGAAGGCAGAACCGGGAGCCCCAGAGTGGCACAGGCAGCCAGCCTGATGCCTTGTAGAGGAGCCACCGGAGAGGGGTGGGGCGCCAAGGCTTCATGGGTGGGGGCATTCGGGTGGGGGTGGGAGTGGCGCTGGAGGAGGCGGTCAGGATGCGTAGACCAGAAGCTCCCATACTGGGAAAAGGGGTGCTTTGCTGCCAGACCCATCACGACTTATCCCTCCCGGGGCTATTTCCTCTGATTCCCGCCTCAGGGCCTCGGTTTCCCCAAGCGGCGGGGCGGGGCGGGAGCGGCGCTGGTTTCAAAGTCGCCTGCAGGGTGCGCCCATGAGCGGCGCGGCCGGAGCTGGAGCCCGAGCCGCCTCTGAGACGGTGGGAGCCAGCGCAGGAGACAGGTCAGCCGGGGGCCTGGGTCTGGGGAATCCAGGGGAGGAGGGTGTCGCGGGCCGGCGTCTTGGCGACTGTGGCCGTCGGATTCCGAAGGGCCAGGAGGTCTGAGCGGATTAGGACCCTCCTGCCCCTTGGAGCGCCCGCCTCTCCCTCGGACCGGACCCTTCCTTCCTGCTGTCGGGAGGAGAGTCCGCGGGTATCAGGGTCCGAGCCTGTCCTGGCTGCCTCGGGAGTGGCCGCAGCTGGGCTCCTTGGTGCGGGTCACATCCTAAGAGCCGTGCCTTCGGGGCGGTCCTCAGCGACCGGAAGGTGAGCATTAGCAGGTAGCACGGAAGGGGCTCGAGTAAGGCAGGGCAGCGGGGTTCCTTACAGATTAGACCGGCAGGCGACGCGCGGCGACTGCCGTCGATTTGTCCGCGTTGAGGACTGAACCTGCAAGCTCACAAGTCGCTTTAGGGCGCGTCCCTGCCAAAGCTAGGCTGCGGACGTCGAGGCGCGGCCGGAGGTAGGCGGGTCAGACTCCCGGGTAAGGGGTTCAGGCGGGCACCAGCTTACAGCCAGGAAGGCACGGAGAGAGCAGGGGAGTTTGGAACCCGGGGGAGGGGAGCATCCTGTTGACAGTGGTGGCGGGAACCCGACTTAGGACACTGGAGAGGCCAGAGGACAAGAGGGTGGGTGATCATTTGGGGCTGCCTGAAGCAGGGGGCAGAAATGGCGGGAACGGTGGCAGCTCTCAAGGGTTTGGCAGAAGATGGGCAAGGGAACGTTTAGACTAATTTTGCCAGTCCATACAAACGGAGCAGCAGGGATTCACAGTGGTCCAGGGCGACAGAAGCAGGCGGTCTCCAGGACTCCTTCTCCCCACAACCGGGGCAGGCAGAGCTCGTATTCTCCTGATGACTGGGAAGGGATTTGGACCCCTCCCCTTACCCAGAGGCCGTGCCTTGTCTCCCTGAGAAAGGAGCCTGCTTTCTGTCCTTCTACCTGGAATGTTCTGCCTCTGCTGCCTAGCTTTCTCTGGACTCCTAGATTCCGCATGCCCTTCAGAAGAGTGTCACACCCAACCAATCTTGTCCTTGGTGTCAGGACCTTTAGGATGATGGTGGAGAGCTTTTGGGAAACACCGGGTAGGGAAGGCCCTGCTCGTTTGGGTCCTCGAGGGCTCCTTAAAGACTGATGGGTCTGTGACTATGATGTCAAGATCTCAAAATTCAGCCCTTACATTCTGGAAGTTCCCAGGTTCTCTCGGGTTCTGGCGTCTCTTGGGCAAACCCTAGCCAATGTGCACTCTCTCAGAGCTGACCATGACTGTTCCGGGCTGAGCCTATCTCCCTGTTTATGGCTTGAAGTTAGACTAAGGGCAGTTCACACATGTAGTAAGAGACAAACTTTGGGTCAGGCAGAAGAAGCGGTGGCTGATCTCCAGGGCCCTGCAGAAGGACTAAAGATTTTGGTGTCCTAACCTGGGTTTTGCTCTTGTCCTCTAGATGTGTACTAAGTGGCCTTGCCACTGCCCTGGGAATCCATTTTCCCATTTGTAGAGTAGTGATGTTCTTAGTAATGCTGAACACACAGGTGTAGAGGAAGAGGGGGAAGATAGTCTTTGGCTGGTTATGGGGATAAATCAGGGGAAGGGGTTGTGGTCAGGATATGCCAGAGGGCAGGTCAGGGAGCTCTGTGCTTAGGTTGGGTAGTCCTGGATGAAGAGGCACAGATTGCTATGAGCGGAGGGAAGTGTGGACAAGTTTAGCTTGGGAGCAAGCATGTGGCATCAAGGTGTCAGGTTCTGCAAAGTCCAGGACCTGTAAGAGGAAGCACAGTCCCTGGTAACTCGCTTGTTGCCTGAAATCAGCAGCTCTGGCCTCTAACCTGCCCATTCCTGAGCTAGCGCACCTCATAGAAGTTACGGTCACCATTGCTGTCCTTTTGATACAACCAAACCGGGGCCTTGCCTAGTGTGTGCATATGAGAGTAGAGGGAGAGAAAGCTAGGCATATATATATATATATATATATGATAGATAGATAGATAGATAGATGATAGATAAATATATGATAGATAGATGTTGGATGATTGATGATAGATAAATAGAAGATAGATAGATAGATAGATAGATGTATGGATGATAGATGATAAATAGATAGATGATAGATAGATAGGTAGATAAGGTTGATAGATGATAGATAGATGATAGATAGATAGATCGATAGATAGATATTGGATGATAGATGTATGGATTATAGATGATAAATAGATGATAGATAGATAGATAGATAAGATTGATAGATAACAGACAGATAGGCACAGGTAGGAAGGGTTTTGATGAATATGATGGAGGAGCTGAGGAGGTGGGGCAGATAGACAGATAGATGATGGATGGGTGGATAGATAGATAGATGGACAGACAGACAGATAGATAGACAGGCACAGGTAGGAAGGGTTTTCATGAATGCAATGGAGGAGCTGAGGAGATGGGGACATACAGGTGAGGATGCTCTACCTGCAGGTAACTGAGCTGGTAAAAGAGACTCTCCCAATTACCATGGAAGACTCCGGTCCCTGGGACACATTGGGGACCACAGAAGGGTAGATCATGACCTGGGGAACTCAGTAGTGGTGAGGGAGCAGAGGTGATACAGTGCTTGAGGAACTGCCCTAGGTCCATACTGGGCCTCCAATAGGAGGAAAAGATTAAGGGTACAGAAAGGGGACCCTGGAGGCTGCTCATGTTCAGAGCAAGGCCTGGAACCATGAGGTGCAGAGAGGAAGGTCCCAGCTCTGAATCTGGAAGCCTTGAGATCCTGCCATGTGCTAAGCAGGGATGGAACGGGGTGGGGGGAAACAGCGCCCTCACTCTAGGCCTGGCAAGGGGTTAGACACTAGGACCACAGGTCCTGTGCGGTGTCCCAGGGCTACCTCTAACTTTATGTGACAGGTCTCTTCCAGAGGCTCTAGCTGGAGGAATCTTTACATTTGACCTCGCAGTGACCTCTGAGAGCCATGAGCCCTTCATCTTCTATGGCTGCATCATCACACCCATATCCTAGGGATATGAATAAGCAGTAGGTTTGAACCCCTCATGTCTAGTGTGCAGGCCAGCCCCCTGCCAGGGTTCCACCCCGGGATCCCTTGTTCCCTTTTCAGGAGGAACAGTACCTGTTAACCACTATTTATGGCAGGCACAGGGGCTGCTCATATATATGATGCTCTAGCCTGTGCACATGGGAGAAGCCAAGGCACAGTGGGGGGGGGGGAGTCTGTGATGGACGTGGTATGGACCCCGCCGCAGGCTGATCCCACCGCAGGCTGCCCTCCAGGCCCCTCTGTAAGGCCTGGATCCCGGGAGGGGTTATATCTGGAGAAGCAGCCTGCAATGCGTGAGTAGCCCCTGAGGTGAGGACTGGGAACCTGTGATCTTTCTGGGTACCAGACCTGGACAAGTGGGCATGTCAGGGTCCATTCTAGGACTCTCAGTGGGAGAGAAGGGAGATCTGACCAGTAGCCTTTGAGCCTAAACGAGGGGAGCCTGGGTCCTGGCTGGTGATAGAGAAGTTGTTTAGAAAGGCAAGCTAGTGCCCCAGCCTCCAGCTGCAGAGAGCTGGTTCTCCCTTCCTGCCCACATCCTGTCCCCAGGAACATAACAGCAGCCACACACCCTGGTTGGTAGGGGAAGGACATACTGGTCACCTACTTGTATTCTTGAGGTCCCAAGCCTTTACCAGGTATTAGAATGTGGGTGCTGCACAACCCTGGAGGGACCCAGGAAGGGGAGGGAGGCCCAGGCCATGCAGCGTCGGGCAGCCTCAGAGCACACCTGTCTTGTTGATTGGTGTGTTAGGGAGGAACTCAGTGGGCTTGGGAGGTTTTCCTGCAAGTCCAGCTACTGCTGAGCAGCTACAGGGCTGTGCTTCAGGTGTAAGAGGTACCAGTGCATCCAGCCGTGACTGCTTCGGGTGTAAGAGGTACCGGCACATCCCGCCGTGACTCTTGCTTGGTGCCATTCCACATATCACCCACTTCCCAAGGACAAATATTGAATCTCCTCCATCTAGACTTTGTCTCTGGTTCTTGTAGAAATTCCTCGGGATTCTCTTCCATCCACCACTGCCTCGGGCCTCCGCTGCCTGCAGGGCTGACATCTATCACGCTCTTTATGACACGCTCTTTATTTTGATTCCTATTTGTCCTGCCCACAATTTTATGCTACTTGTTTGTATTTGCTCTGGTGTGCCAGAGAGTTTGCTAGCTCTCATTCTCGTTTATGGCCCCTCCTTTGTAAAATATCTAAATTATCACTACATAGGCCATATCCTCTCCTGTGGGTTTGATACTTTTATTTTCTCTTTCACGGACTTTTTTTTTTTTTTGAGGGAGTGTCATGTAGACTGGCCTGGCCTCCAACTCAGTCACAGAGACCCACCTATTTCTGCCTCCCAAGTGCTAGGGTTAAAGATAAATGCCGCAATTTTTCTTCTTCATAATCTTGTTTTCTTCTGGCATCTTAAATCTAGTGTGCAGCTCACCTGAAGTGGGAGATGAGGTCCTGGGCATGGCTTCTAAGTATCTGAATCTCATAGGTAGCAGCTGTCATTGAAGAATTCCCAGGTTCTTGTCTTTTGAGACCCCTGCAGTAGACTCCAGGACGGCAGGGAGCAAAAGTGGCAGCAGACGGCTCAGAGGTTCCCCGGGGCCCAGAAGGTTAGGTAACTGGTGAACATTGTCTATGAGAAAGAGGCAGCCCGGGCACAATGGCACAGGCCTATGTTACAGCACTTAGAGGTCAAAAGCAGGAGGATCACGAGTTTGAGATTATACTTGGCTACATAGCAAGCTTAAGGCCAGCCTGGGCTACAAGTGACCCATCTCACAACAAAACGAAATCGTAAGGCTGGGGTTCTAGAGCCCAGGAAGAAGCCCAGTGCCGCTGCAGTGGCCTGTCCCTGCGCTACTCTGTTCTGTGTGCTAGGCTGCACCCCGGAGCAGTACGTGGAGCACTGTCTGGGAGCACGGAGACACAGCCAGCAGGGTCCGGAGGCACCACCTGGGCATGTGTACACGGAGCCTGGGGTGAGGTGGGTCAGGAGATATGCGGGTTGGGATTAAGTGGTTTTAATTAAAGTGGCTGGATCAGGGTGGGAGTGAATGGGTGGGAAAAGACAGCATGGAGTGTGACCGCTGGGACCCTAAGGCATTGTCCCTTCAAGTCTACTGATACATGTCCCGTAGCATATGCCTGTGGTTTACACGGGACAGTTTCTACACCCTGCCCTGTCCCCAGCAAAGGACAATCATAAGGAAATGCAACATTATTAATATTTAATTTCCCCTCTTGGCTAGCAACAGATGACTCAAGGATTAATTCGATGGAGACAAAAGATAGGGATAGGAAATTGCTAGATCCCGGCTCTGCACTGGCCCCTTCCCCTGGGCCCCCAGGCTTCCCGTGACTCTAGAGCGGTGGTTCTCAACCTTCTTAATTCTATGACCCTTTAATACAGTTTCTCGTGTTGTGGTGACCCCCCAACCATAAGATTATTTTCATTACTACTTTATAACTATAATTTTGCTCCTGTTATGAATCGTAATATAGATAATTTTTTAGAGAAAAAGGTTTGTTGAAGGGGTCGCCTCCCACAGGTTAAGAACCACTGTTGTCGCAGAGAGGGACGTCGGCTACCGTATCCCTTAGCATTCTCCAGGGACTATGCCACCCTCTAACGTCCCTGATAAGGGGGAGAATCTTTTCACCTGTTTGGGCTGCAGCTTCTCATCTGAAAAATGGAATTCACCAGGCCAGCCCGAACACAGCTTTCAGGCATTTTCCAAACTCCCAGACAACACACACAAGTTCCTCAAGGGGGCCCAGAGTAGCCTTGATATTCAGATCCACAGCCACCTGGAGAGTACGGGACTTAACAGTGCAGCGGTGGCTGACATCTCTTGGCCCCGTCTGTGTGTGGCTCCGTCTGGTCAGTGATACATTCGTAGGTCTGAATTGGCCCAGTGGGAACATTCATACTACAAAGAAAAGCTACAAGGCAGGGTGCCCTGGCCCTGGGCTATTTTGCCTGCCTATAACTAGACAGTCTCAGCCTTCCCCTGCAGGGCTCCTCCCTCCTGTCTGTCCTGAGAATGCCTCTGGCTCCGCTGATCTGCTGGACTTGGGGCTGGGGAAAGCACAAATGAAAAGAAAGATTCTGGTTTGGCAGCTGCCCAGGTGGCCCTGGGATCAGAGGAGCTTCCCCTGGGATGCGCTGTGATAGCTGAGGCAGGCTGCAGGAATGCTGAAGGAAGGGCAGAGGAAAGGGCCCTGGGACAGGAACCTTTGGTGTGTCCTCAGCCCGTGCAAGGCAGGCCTGGCAGGAGGGCCAGCTGTGTTGAGACTGGAGCGCAGCAGGGTGGCCTCAGGGCAGTCAGGGAGGGTGCTGGTGGCCAGAAATATCCAGCGCGGACCCAGCACAGAACGTGAGGATCCTTGAGAACTGGGACGACTCAGTCAGGTAGCGAGGCTGCTGGGAGAACCTCAGCAAATACAGGCCTGAGTTAGGCACTTTCCAAGCCAAGGTTCTGGAAGCGATGGAGTTAGTGCAGTCACTGGCGGGTCAGCCCCGGCGGTGTGGCCATCAGCAGGGCTCTCTCTCGGCTCAAGGAAGGAGCTGGCTCACCTTGACAGAACTGTGTTACGTTCCGCTTTTCCCACTGGGGACCTTGAAGATGGAGGATGTTTAGTGCCTAGGCCGGCTTTCTAGCCATGGGCTGGTCTAATTCCAGACAGCTTCAGTGCCCATCAACACAAATTCCACTAGAACAGGCCCAAGGGATATGTGGTTACCCTCCCCCCAGAAGATACCAGTTGGGAGTCAGGATTCTTGGAAGGCAGTAGCTCTCCAGGGGCTCACTGGGCCTGGCTGGGCCTGGTTGAGCCTGGTTGGGCCTGGTTGAGCCGACAGAGGGCTGCTGTAGCTCCACATGTTGAAAGCTACAGCCCAAGGTAGGAGCTGCTGGTCCTGGGCTTGCTGTGGACCCCTGATGCATGCTTCTGTAAACTGTAAATTGTGTGCACAGAGGGACACGGACCCAGAGGCGGCACACATCCCGGCTCTAGCCATTCTTCTGGGGAGATGCATTAAGAACAACTAGTTGGCCATTGGCTTATGCAAAGCTGGGATTCATAAGGGCTTAGCTATAGCTGTCTCTGCTTTACCTAAGGAGCCATGGCGCCTCTTAGGTAGAAACGGTAATACCGTCGGCTTCTGCAGACTTTGGCCTCAAGTTCCTAGCTTTCCGTATCTGCTTCCTCGCTGGGTAGAAGGGCTTCCACACCTGCACAGCTGCAGCCGTGTCTCCCCTGGCTCCAGACTGAAGCCCTGGCAACATCACAATAGGGAGCTTGGGGTTTATTTATTGCAGCCCCATCTTACCTCTTGGCCAGATTCGAGTGGAGAAGACCCTTCTTCCAAGGCCTGGAGTTCCACTCACCCTCAGTCCTGGCGTATAGAAGTAGGAAAGATGTGTTTTCGTGCAGGCACAACCTGGGGTCCTATAGAGGTTCAGAACTGAAGAGGATGAACTGGGAGTGGAGGGATCTCTTGGTTCTTGCCTGGGGGATAGCAGGCTTTGGGGAATGTCCTGCTTACACTGAGTTTTGCAAGCTCAGGGAGCAGGAGTTTGGACTTGACTGGGACTTGCTACAGAGAGAGCAAGACTTCCAGTTTCTAGGGGGTCTCAGCTATTCCTGTGATCTGACGTTGGGACTCTGGGGTAGTCTTTCCAAATCTGTTATTCTTTTCTCAAGGGGTTATGGATAAGCACGGAAATGAGCCCATGGTTGTCATCTGGGACAATGTAATGGTGTTACACTCTGAGTGGAGAAACTGAGACCCGGGGAAAAAAAAAAAGAGCATTCCTGCCCACAGTCCTCCAGTGGGTCCTCACAGAGCGCCTGTTTTCCTAAAGCTGCAGTCCCAGCAGCAGCTAGGCACAGAGACAGGTGGGAAGAGGCGGGGGAGGAGAGCAGGAGGCGGATCCCTCAGAGAAGGGAAGCAGCCGCAGTGCCTGCCCTGCCCGGGTGCACAGCCTGCTGGCAGGAGCTCTCGGAGCGGTGGCCTTCGCTTGGATCCTGGTTTGCCACCTGTGAGGGTAAGAAAGCTTAGGACATAAGGCTCCCGGGTCCCTTCAGAAAGGAACTCCAGGAGTGTCTGAAGAAGTGTCTGACCTGAGTGACAGTGGTGTCCCTCAGGTGGGGATGGTAGGAGCAAGATGAGCTGGGCTGGGAGGCTAGCCCAGTGTGAGAAGGTAGATGGGATTTGGGAAGTCCGGTAGGGAGAGAGCTTTGCTGGAGGGAAGGGTCTCACGGGGCTGATCATGGATGCAGGGACCCAGAGGACAGGACAGGCTGTCACAGAAGATCCGAAAAGCTACAGAAAAGAGGAGCCAGTAGAAGCACCATTTTGCCTTGACTTTAACTTGCTTCCATAGCGCCAGCTGCTAGTCTGGGCTGGGACGGTGGTAAAGCGGTACCCGAAGTGAGGAAAGTGGCATGTTGGGTAGAGAGTCCTCGCTCTGACTGCTATCCTTCCCATGTCTGTCCTGAAGAGACTGGGGGAGGAACTACTTCCCTGAGAAGGGTTGGGTGAAGATCTTGACCAGAATTCTTTGGAACCATTGAGTTCTTCAGGCCTGTGTCCTGACTGACGGCCACAGATAGGGCAAGACGGGAGTTGTTCCTGGATAGACACTAGGCAGAATCTGGAGTGGCTGGGGTGGCTGAGCTGCTCACTGGCAATCTCTCTTTGCAGGTACCTCGGAAGCCTAAAGTCGAGCGGAGCCCGGCCGGATCCCTTGGCGTAGTCATGATTTTAGAAGACGCGGAGTCCTCTGTGAGAAAGCCTGTGGCAAACTCTCTCTGGGAACACTCGTGGCTCTTGTGAGGAAAGGGCTGCGAGACTTGAGTAGGTGGTCGGCTGGGCTGCAGCTATGGACCGAGAGCTGGCCCAGACCCGCATCCTTGCTGAGCCTGCCCAAGTGTGGCTGCTCCCACCATGGTCTCCTCGGTGTACATCATGGTGGAGCTGGCCATTGCTGTGCTGGCCGTCCTGGGCAACGTACTTGTGTGCTGGGCTGTGTGGATCAACAGCAACCTACAGAATGTCACCAACTACTTTGTGGTGTCACTGGCAGCGGCTGACATTGCAGTGGGTGTGCTCGCCATCCCCTTCGCCATCACCATCAGCACCGGCTTCTGCGCCGCCTGCCACGGCTGCCTCTTCTTCGCCTGCTTCGTCCTGGTCCTCACTCAGAGCTCCATCTTCAGCCTCTTGGCCATTGCCATTGACCGCTACATCGCCATCCGCATCCCACTCCGGTGAGCCAGGGCTTGCATATCTGTGGGCACAGAGGACAGGCCTCTGGGTCTTGGTCTGATTCTTGATAGAACTGGAGGTGGCCATACCTGTCTGGCTTATCCCTATAGGTACAGGGTACCCTGGCATCTCCCCAGGTGCCATGCTGAGGCTGTCTACAGGCAGCCGTGTATGGCTCCTGTCAGATGAGGGTGGCCTGGCTCTGATACTGCATGCTGGTGTGTGTGAGTTAGTCTTCATACCTCTAAGCATGATCTGAGGTGGGTGGGGAAGCACGGGAAACCACAGAGCCTTCGCTAGGAACCCGCCTCTGTCACCACCAGCCTTCCCCCAGTGTGTGCTTCAGAAGAGTGACCCAGAGAGGGGAAGTGACTTGGCCAAATGCCACAGTGAGTCATTTGGACTTCTATGCAAATTACGTTGCTCTTAAGTCTGAGAGGACTTTGCCTGCTTTAGGGGCTGGCTGTGCAGAGGGGGTTTTCTGGTGATTCTGTTGTGACGTGACTTTGGCCAAGTGTTGTGTAATAAAGATCTTCCCAGAGGCCTCTTCCCAGCCACCCTGTAGATAACCCAGACTCTCCCAGGAATTGTACCTCTGTTCTTCTTACCAGAGCTCGGTCCTGTAGCCAGGGTGGCTGCGGGCCCTGAGGAGGGAGTCCATAAAGGGAGATTACAACGTATAGCCCCCAGAGTGAGTTTTTCCTACCCCAGTGGAGTTCCCACCCACAAAGGAAGCATCAGTAACTTTGCTGTGGGCTGAGGGCAGCCAGCGATAGGGACCAGGCTTGGTGAACGGTGAAAATTCAGGGTCAGAGGCAAGAGGGCCTTTAGAGGTCATTTCCTTCCCCCTCATCTTCTGGATGGAAAAAAGAGGCTCTGAGAAGTGGGCTGCCTCTCTCACAGCCATCCAAGGAGTGGGTAGCAGAGCCTGGGGAGAAGTGTAACTTGCCATCAGGGTGACGCCAGGCTTCGGGGGTCGCCCCAAGTGCCTCGGTGGTGTCCTGGACAGTACGTCACACAGCTGTTGCTATAAGCTGAGCCCTGAAGCGAACACCCACGCTAGCTTACTTGAAAGGATGGAGCCTGTGCCTTGTGTTGCCTTAAAGACTTCGTCAAAAGGGACTCAGCCAGGCATGGTAGCAAGCACACACACTTGTAGCTGGGAACTTGGCAAAAGCTATAGCCTAAACATGGAGAGTTACTGGTCAGCCAGGACTTTGCCTGAAGACCCCTGTTCAAAGAAAAGAAAAGAAATAAGCAAAAATGAAAGGGGAGGGACTTCCGGTGAGCTCTACGAAGGGATGGAGTTAAAGGTCGCCTGTGGGGACAGTCTGCCCCATTGCCTCCACCCCATACTTCGTAAGTAGACCAAGGTCTAGGTTTCTGCAGTGACAAACTAGAACCCAGAGGCCTAGGGGAAATCTACATGTGGGTCCCCAAGGGGTCAATGGCATCTACCCTCTACCCTGGGAGTCTCCAGTGGTCAGTGGCATTTGCCCTGGGAGTCAGGCTCAGCCATGCAGTAGTAGGTCACCAAGAGGAGCAGTAGCTTAACATTCTCGTTTCCAACTCCGAGGAGCGGCATAGTGGGAAAGATGAGGCTGGCTAATCTTGGTTTAAAGGCTTCAGTTGGCTCTCCTCTCCTTGGCCTTTCTCTGTCTTTGTCTTCTCAGTATCAAAAGACTGAAACCCTGAAATGGGATGGGATGAGGTGTGTGTCTGTAGGATGCTAGCCGCTCTATGCTGGGCCTGTTCTCTCAGGTGTGACAAGAAGACACATTTCTGTGTTGTCCCTCTGAGCTCATAAAGAAAGGTCTGCAGCTTCAGTAAATGGGCAGGAATGACTAGGCCGGGCGGGGTAATGGGGGAAGGATGCAGCTCTTTTGTGAGATGGAGGCTTGGAGCCATTGTATCCTTGACCCCCAGGACCTCCTGACCTCAGTTCCGCTTGGACCTTGGGTCATCTGAGCTCTGAGTGGGGCTGCGAAAAGCACAGGCTGGTCTCGGCCAGGAGCCGAGTTTTACAGCTGCCGTGGAGTGTTAGTACAGTATATCCTTTGAACATCCTGGTCCAGCTTTTCAAGCAGAGCAGATGACATGACCCTTGTGGGAGACCAGAGCCACGAAAGGACATCTCTGTGTCTCCCAACCTGAACAGACTCTAGAGCCTGCCACTGTGTTCCTGGCTATTGAGCCCCTTCACTTGCCCATCCCTCGAAGTTTCTGGTTATTGAGAATGTGGAGGTAACTGTAGAGCAAGGTATCTGAGAGCAAGCCGGGCGTGATAGGGGCATAGAGGACACCAGAGGACCAGGCATGGGGGAGGGTTCTAGATAGGGAGCATCCAGGCATGCAGGGTTTCTGGAAGGGACCAGGGCACCAGGAATGAGGGGGATCTGAAGGGGATTAGGGGATCAGGCATGAGGGGAATCTGGAGGGGACCAGGGGACCAGGCATGAGGGGGATCTGAAGGTGACCAGGGGATCAGGCATGAGAGGGACCTGGAGAGGACTAGGCACCCTTGGGTAGCTCTGGAGATGTTCTTTAGCTTGGACTCTCATTTTCTTCCCTTCACAGCCAGGAATTCAGCCTCTTCTAAGGTACTTCTTGTTGTATTGGCAAGGTCCATAGACTCTGGCCTTTGATGGAGGCTTAGTCCCAAGCTTGGACCAGGCACCAGGAATTGGACTGATCACTTCCCTCCTTCCTGAGTGTAGGGACCCTGTTCAATTAAGGCAGGGTCTCTTGGGTGATAAAGAAAATGGGTCGGTGGCAGAGATGAAGTTCTGTGCCTGTAAAGAATGAAAAGCAAGGTGTTAGAGACCAGGCTCCCTCTCCTAGGGACCCTTCACACCACTGTCTGCAAGTCTCACATTGGCCTCTGGGGCTCTCAGACCCAAAGAACGGGCCAAAGGACACACAGGAAATCAGTTGGTGCAAGACCTGAAGTCCTATAAAATACACTTCTCTATTTCCAAAAGGGCACAAGGGCCAGGCATATACACAGTGGGAGAGTGTTTATGTAGCACGCCTTAGGCCTTAAGCAGTATCGCTAGTACCACAAAATGGAAATAAAAAGGCTTTCCATTTGGCTGTAAGTCCCTGCTGGCTTGGCTCAGTGTTCAGTGGTAGAATACTAGTTGCTTAACATAGTGTGAAGCCCGGACTCCATTCTTCCCTACATGAGGGTGCTGGTGAGGGTGCAGAATTGGGAGGCGGTGCCCTGAAGGAAGTCTTTCTGTATTAGTGTTACAGGGTGTGCATGGTCTTGATAGGTGAAGTAGGGGGTGTCCAGAGGGTAAAACCCTGCCAAAGGTCCCCAAGGAAGGAGTAAGTGAGGCAGGTGTGGTGTGAGGCTGATTTAGGCTGGTCTCTGCCTATGGAGGGATTTTGAGTTTCTTCTTTGGTCAAGATGCTCTTCAGTTCTTAGGTCATTGCCCCTTAAGGTGACTTAGAAAATTCCACCTTCTCTCCAGTATGGCGAATACACATGGAAACTCCACCTGGAATTGTGGGTATGTTCTGGAGCCATGGGGTGAACCCCCAGGATAGGTGATGAAGAGTCCCAGGGGAGGGCAACTTCTACGGATTGGAGGATATACAGATGCAGAGGCCACTTGAAAATAGGGTTGCTGGAGACTCTGGTACCCACACGCTATATCTCCGAGGCTCCCTGGAAGGACTCCATGTCGCACTAGACAGCCTGGACATCATTATGGCTGCACAGAATGTATTTATCCAGAAAGCCTCAATGAGACTGTGTTAGTCACAGAACAGGCCAGGATGTGCCCTTGAGACAGCTATGGTCTGTTTGTGATTCCATTTGGGTCCTGATGCTATTCTAGACCTCAGACTTTAGCCCTATGACCTTGAATTCTTGATTCTCCTGCCTCTATTTCCAAGTGCTGAAAATATGAGCATGGGGTCCTATTTGGGTTGTGTGTGTATGTGTAAAAATAAAGCTTGCATGCACTTAAACATTCAAGAAGACCAAAGGTCATATAACCAAATATCTCCAAGACCATCAGTACATTGCCAACATAGGAAAGTACATCCATAGGGGCTTTCTTTCTAGAATCCAGGGGAAGACTTCCCCTTATGGGTTCCCTGCCTGTAAAAGTAAACTGGACAAACCAGGGATTTCCATGGTGTATTCCCAGAAACTATCAGCCCTGACCCATTGTCTCCCACAACATTGTTAACTCAGAAGCTACTTACTACCGCCTTTCTAACTCCCTGGACAGGGTCAAGAAGGCCTGTTCTGAGAATAGTTTGAAAGTCACGCGGTGGGAGACCCTACCCCATTCCCAGAAGCCCATCAGTCTCCCATGCAGCCCGTTTCTCTGAATAGCAGCTGAACAACTGATCCCCCCTGAGCCGTTTCTCTGAACAGCGGCCGAATAGCTCTCTGATCCACCCTGAGCCACAGAGTGGTTCCCTGGGGTTTCCAGCCACTAAATTCAGCATCTTGCCCTTACGGAGCAGTGGTGATACATCTAGAATTCTTAGTTTCAGTTTATAAAGGAGGAAATTGAGGCCCAGAGAGGAGAAGTGACGCAGCATTCCCTGCTTATGGGAATGTACCGGTACTAGGACCCAGGAAGGGTGTGCTTGCCCCAGGAAAGATGTGAACAGTAACATAGCTTCCCCTCCCGTGAGGATCATGTAAAGCACTGTTGAGGGGTGCCTGGCACAGAGTAAGTATTAGATGAGGTGGGGGCCCTAGGACGTCGTGTTTGAGCCTGCAGAGAGGCACACATACAGTGCTTGGTCTGTGATGGTTGGTGGGCAGAGTTAGTCTGTGACTCTCCTGCAGAGGCCCTGTTACAGGAGACCAAGGGCCCCACTCGGCGGGCCTGTGAAGCTCCTGAGAACGTGCCTGACAGTTACTGTCTGGGTTCTGAATTGGCAGGGCTGGAGTGATAGCTCAGAGGAAGGACTCTTGCCTCTCATATGCAGGGCCTTGGATTTGATCCCCAGCACCACGGCAGAAGAGACTGTAAAAGATCCTGAGAAATTCATCCAGGCTTCAGTTGCCCCAGGGTCTGTTCACAGGAAGTCCCTGTGTCTCTTTGGGTCTCAGTTTCAGTTTCCCCTAAAACAGAGGAACAGATTAGATAAGTGGTAAGCAACTACTAGGGCCTGTCTGTCTGTCTGTCTATCTATCTATCTATCTATCTATCTATTCTATCATCTATCAGTCTTATCTATCTATCGATCATCTATCTTATCTATCCTCCATCATCTATCTAATCTCTATATCATCTATCTGTCTATCTTATCTATCTATATATCAGCAACATTGAAGATGGGAGATATTTTTGCCTCAAAAAAAAAAAAAAAAAACAAACCCTCTGGTCCTTCTCGAGATCTAGCAACACTGGGTATACATTTTCCTTCTTCCTTTCTTTCTCTTTCTTTCCTCCTTTCTTCCTTCCTTTCTTTTTTATGATACTTAGGGCCTCACACATGTGAGGTAAGTTCGTTAACTCTGGGCATACATGTTGCATCGTGACGAAGATAGGGCGACCACATACCAGCTTTCCTCCTATGTCTTATATCAGTAGGTGCCTGTGTCTGCTACCCGTAAGCCTTTCTGGAGCTGCTTTCAGTCTGGACTCAATAGGTGTACGTGTTTTCCTTGTTACCTGCTGTAGGCCCCTGTCCACCAGCTGGCAGTGTAGAGATAAATGCAGGAGATTCCTACTCTAAGTGGGCTCCCGGCCTCAGATGAGGCAGGAAACTTCTCCAAGATGTCTAGCCTGAATCTGAAGAGTGGAAGTTCCACTGGGCAAGATCGCCCTGGGCACCACTGCAAGTGGGCAAGATCGCCCTGGGCACCACTGCGCATAGGTCTTGTTTGGCCAGAATTGAAACCTTTAGATTTATCTCTTAGATGCTACCAAAGCTCCTTTTTATCAGCCAGAGACTCTTACTGAACAGCAGCTGAATGGCTCTGATCCACCCTGAGCCACAGAGTGCCTCCCTTCTTTCTCTAAAGTAATCGTGTATTTCCAATGGAGTGGAGTCTACTTTCTAGTGGATAAGTCAAGCCCTGCCCCCACCCCCACCCCGGGGCTGGGAATCAGCACAAGAATGTTTTTATTTACTGCCTTATTTCATACCCCATTCAGTACCTCTTGATTATTAAGATTGCCAGGAGAATGTCAAGACATAATTGTCTCGTTTCCACCGAGAGGATTATGGGTGGGTTTGGAGGGCAGGAGGGATGATATCTCATCTGGCCTGGGACTTCTGCTCCTTCTCCATGACCTGGACAGCCTTTTCTTGAGGCCGGTGGAGATTCAAGTCTGATGGGGAAGAACAAGCGTGGAGTATAAGTGGCTCTGACCATCTACAGGTCTGATCTTGCTCGCTCTGTCTCCACCCTGGACAGAACTAGTCCTTCTCTAAAGGAAATCATGTTATCGAAGGAACCACGATTAACCAAACAGAAGAGGCACTTGTCCCCCTAAGATCACCTATTTCTCCCAAACCAAACTCCAGGTGAATCTCATACCTAAGACTAATAACCCCTGAACATTTGTGAGATCGCGTCCATGTCCTGGATGACCACTTCCCGTCACATCCCTACAGCTATGATAAGGACGAGCCCAGCACCTCACCTACAAGAGATACTACTGAGGCTAGGAGAAGGAAGTGCTCAGTGAAGTAAGCGAAAGAGACAGGAACCGTTGGGGCTTCTGTGGGCTTCTGAGCTTGCGGCTCCGCTGACCTTTGTTCATCAGGCCTCTAACGCTGGTCCTCTCTCCCCAGGTACAATGGCTTGGTGACAGGCATGAGGGCAAAGGGCATCATTGCAATTTGTTGGGTGCTGTCGTTCGCCATCGGCCTGACCCCCATGCTGGGCTGGAACAGCTGCGGTCAGGTCAAGGATGGCCAGAACTACACGCAGGCCTGCGGCAAGGGCCAGGTGGCCTGTCTGTTCGAGGACGTGGTGCCCATGAACTACATGGTATACTACAACTTCTTCGCTTTCGTCTTACTGCCCCTGCTGCTCATGCTGGGCATCTACTTGCGGATTTTTTTGGCAGCCCGGAGACAGCTGAAGCAGATGGAAAGCCAACCCCTGCCAGGGGAGCGGACCCGGTCCACGCTGCAGAAGGAGGTCCATGCTGCCAAGTCCCTCGCCATCATCGTGGGGCTCTTTGCCCTCTGCTGGCTGCCACTCCACATCATCAACTGCTTCACTTTCTTCTGCCCCTCATGCCAGCACGCCCCTCCGTGGCTCATGTACCTGGCCATCATCCTCTCACACAGCAACTCCGTCGTCAACCCCTTCATCTACGCCTACAGGATCCGTGAGTTCCGCCAGACCTTCCGGAAGATCATCCGCACCCACGTCCTGAGGCGGCAGGAACCCTTCAAGGCCGGGGGTTCCGGTGCCTGGGCCTTGGCGTCTCACAGCACTGAGGGAGAGCAGGTCAGCCTCCGCCTCAATGGCCACCCCCTGGGGGTGTGGGCCAATGGCAGTGCCCCCCATTCTGGACGGAGGCCCAATGGCTATACCCTGGGGCTGGTGAGCGGAGGGAGTTCCCAAGGGTCTCCTGGAGATGTGGAACACCAGGAAGGCGGCCCAGAGCATCCTGGCCTAGGGGAGCAACTGGCCGAGGGCAGAGAAGGAACATCCTCGTGGTCCACAGAGTTTGCCCCTTCCTGAGGGAAAGACATCTTTATCTTTTTGGTTGGCTGGACCAATCTCACTGAGAGAAGACAAGGAAGACCATGCCGGAAAACACACTGGGCATCTGGTTCCCACTTTGGACTAAGAAGAGGGAGCATTGAGCTGATGCAGCATGAAGCCCAGCAAGAAAGGCCTGGGGTGGAGGAAGCAGATGCCTCGTGCTGTGGGGCCCTGCGTTAGGCCCTAGTTAGAGCAACATCAGCGTCTTCGAAGGTGGGGACCAGTTCCCCGACTCCAGAAGCATCAGAAAGTTCTATCTTGTCTCTGTAGAGCAGCTGTGGCCTGGAGGACTGGCTTGGCCTGATGTTGGGGTATGGCTGCTTCAGGCCTCCCGCCATAGTACACTACCCTCCCCAGACCGTCTCGGGCTCAGGGAGCTGCTGGCCTGGAAGTTGGCACTTGACTACTTTTTTTTTTTTCTTTCCAGAAGATGAAAATGTGAGGAAACCCTTTCTATTTTATTGACGTCCCCTCCCCGGCTGCTGGATCTGTCCTCGATCCTGCCCTATCCCAAGGAGTCACAGGCAACCCTCTCAGGCTGCCACAAGCTGCCATGCACTTAGTCATAGGGCCATCTCGGGGCAGCAAAGCTGGGCTTGAAGACAGGAACTGCAAAGGGAATGGTGTCAGAGTGTGGGCTCTCAGGTCCCACGAGAGAGGTTAGAGCCGTCAAGCCATGGACCTGAGCCTGGGAAGCTCAGAGCTGCCCCCTCAGAGGCCCTGTCTACTGCCTTTCCTCCTGGAGGGACTGATTTCTTTGTTTTTGTTTGTGTTTTTTTTTCCTGAGATAAAATAAAATGAGCCACACTTGTGTTTTAAATTTATCCGCGAAGAATGATGTCTGAGTTCTTTTCTCGATTTCCTAGCCAGGCCTGATGCACACACGTGAGCTCACGCGATTACACGTGAGAGAATGTGTATATGGACAGACAGACAAAAGCTACATTGCTCATCCTGGAGATTTTCCAGGCTCCTATTCTCCAAGGGGACAGGCTGCCCGGGTAACACCAGAATCCAAATGCCGGTGTGTTAGGGTAGAGTGGGGAGCATGGGGTGGCAAACTTATATTTCCTATGGGAGACACGGCCATTCCTCACAGGCACCGTGGAAGGTGGGGGCTGTTTGGTCATGCCTTTAGGGTCTTTAACCCCTCCTGTCCTAAGGACTGAAAATGAGAATACCTAGGGCCTTCCTCCTATGCTTCAAGAAGACCTGTCTGTAAGTCACCTCAGAGCCGGGGCCATCAACTCCCGCCGTAGCCAAGAGGCTATCGAGGTCCCAGAAACAGATCTGGGCTGGGGCAGAACTGCCTTCCCTTCCTTCCAACAAAGAAACTATGAGGCACTGTCCCTTGCTCCAGCCTTGGCCCCTGGGTCCCTGCCTAAGGAGACGCTGCTTTCTCACGGTGATGGATGGTGATGACAGCTTGGGATGGGCAGGGAGCCATGAGTGGTTCTGACAGGGCCCCGAGGGCCACTTGAGTATTTCTTGGGCTGTGATTTGAGGAAAAGGGTGTTAGAACTTCAACACCACCCTAGGAGCCTTGTTTTACACGCAATTAACAAGCCCAGAGAGGTTAAATTCTTGCCCTGGGTTACACAGCAAAACAAGCGGCAGAAGTGGATCTAAGTCCAGGTCCACCCAACTGTGACAGTCACACTTTGTAAAACTGACTGGCGACGATCTCAACCAAGCCAGATGGTGTGCGATAATAGCCGTCTCTGGAACTGGCGTTCGCCTTTAATCCCGCCACTCAGGAGGCAGGGATCTCTGAGCTCGAGACCAACCTGGTCTATAGAGTGAGTTCCAGGACAGCCAGGGCTACATAGAGAAACCCCGTCTCAAACAAACAAAAGCAAAGAAGATCAAAGAAAAGAAAAAGATTTCATTTGATCCATCTGACTCTTCCATTACCCTCTTTACTCTTCTTCACACAGAGGCAGGAATATGTGCAAATTGCTCCCAGCCTCTTTTTCACAAGCTCATCAATTACAGGTCCTCCTGGCTGACTGAGGAGAACCATCTAGAACACTTCTCAGCGGCTCTGAAGCCTGAGTGAACCGCCCTGGCTGGCTCTCCGCCGTTGTTAGTAACCTAAGCCTCTTAGTCAGGACAGCGAGGCCAGGAAGTGCCAGTATGAATGTTGAGTGTGCCCTCGTCCTCACCAGCGTCTCCCTCCTCATACCTTAGGTCTGTACTGGCTGAAGACAGAACAGCGAACGAACTGGGCTGTGTGTGAGGAGGCAGAGAACAGGGATGTTGCTGGTCATCAGTTGGTCCCCAGTTGGTAGGAGAAGTCCAAAGAGAACCACAAATGCAGAAAAGGAAGAAATCTCATCACCCCAGCCTTTTCTGGCAACTGAGCTTTCGGGCTGAGCTGCATAGGTGTAGGCTTTGGGCTTAGGAGATCAGGATGAGGGGCTGAGAAGGGACTTCTAGGTACAGCTGCGATGCTTTCAGTCAGCCAGGCCCAGCTCTGGAACCCAGGCTTCCTTGTGTCTTCAGAATTCAGTGTTCCATGTTCACATCTACCCCATACAGGCTCCCACTGTGAGTGGAGAATTTCAGTGTGAGGACACATGTCTAGACACAAACGTATACATGTCGTTCTTCTGATCATAACTGTAAGTGTTCGCTGGGCGATGGTGGCACACGCCTTTAATCCCAGCACTCGGGAGGCAGAGGCAGGCGGATCTCTGTGAGTTCGAGACCAGCCTGGTCTACAGAGCTAGTTCCAGGACAGGCTCCAAAAAAAGACACAGAGAAACCCTGTCTCAAAAAACCAAAAATAAATAAATAAATAACTGTAAGTGTTCATACATGAACACTGCAAGTGGATGCAGTAAAAATGAAAAGAAAGAATGAAAGAAAAAAACTGCCACCGGGCAGTGGTGGCGCACGCCTTTAATCCCAGCACTCTTGGAAGACAGAGACAGGCAGATCTCTGTGAGTTTGAGACCAACCTAGTCTACAAGATCTAGTTCCAGGACAGGCTGAATAGCTACAGCGAAACCCTGTCTCAAAAAACAAAAACAAACAAAAACAAAAACAAAAAAAAAAAAAACAAAAAAAAAACCCAAAACAAAACCTGCCGAGGTGACCAGTCCATTGTATGACTTAGGTTTTTATTCTGACTAAGAGAGAGCAGAGGGAAAAGGCAGAGTGGACATAGGTCAGCAGGATAAACTTGAGTTGGAAGTATAAACCAAGTGACCTCCCAAATAAGAGTGACAGATTTACCCACTATCTGGACAGCCAGCTTGTGATCCTCAGTGGGGATCTCGAGGACTCTGTTGGGGGCAGAGGTCACCAGTCTTTGGCTGCCACACAGGACAGCATCAGCTCTCGGCCGCCAGACAAGAAGATCTGAGGGATTTTTCTATGGGGGAGGAACTTGAACTGGCCTGCTTTAATGAGGCAGAGATAGCCATCCATCCCACAGTGTGGCGAGGCATGAAACAGTTCTTTGCCCAGTGGCACGTGTCACCACACTTGAAGCCAGCTCAAGGTGGCATCTGTTGCTGCTCGTGTTCTTTGGAGATAGCGCCAGCTGCTGCTACCAGAAGCTAGTATTCTGTCTGCCAGGGAAGACCTTTTTCATTAAACACCTTAAATACCATGTTCAACTCTCTTTGAGGGGTTTGAGGGTTCCCCATATAATCTATTAACTATACCAGATTTGAAACAAGCTTTAATTGATTTTAGTTCATTGCTTCAGGCTTAACCTTGACAACATATACAGAAGGCTAAAGCTTGTCCCTCTAAACGAACTAATTTGTGCTTAGCATATATATATATATATGACTGCAAGCATAATTCAAGCATGCTATTAATAAGTTTTATTTATTGAATCCAAGTTACAGATATAATATATATAATATATATGTAATATTCTGTAGCAAATTAAGATCACCTATGGATAGAGCCGCCAATACTTTTTGTTACATGTTTTCCACACTGCCTCCAGCCTCTCTGTTGGAGTCTTTTTTTTTTTTCAGTTTACTTAGCTTTATTTTATGTGCATTGGTGTGAAGGTATCAGATCCCTGAGAACTGGAGTTACAGACAGTTGTAAACTGGGAATTGAACCCAGGCCCTCTGGAAGAACAGCCAGTGCTCTTAACTGCTGAGCCACCTCTCCAGCCCCTGTTACATGTTTTAAGTTAAGTATTTTGGTACAGATTTTACAGGCTTTTTTTTTTTAAAACCACACTCAATGAACTTACAAACCCTGAGATAAAGTTTAAATAATGGTCTTAGTTTTTCTGGGGTTTTTTTTGTTGTTGTTTTTGTTTTTATTTTTTGTAAACAAAGTATGAAGTCTTAGCGATAAGAGATTTTTGAGACTGGAGAGTAGAGAAAGCTTAGCAATAAAAGATTTTGCGCAGGTGAGTGGGAAAAAGTTGGGGGAATCATTGTGTTGTGCAGTGGCAGAAGCTGTTACAATTTGATGCACAGGCGGTGGCCACCTCAGCAGGAGTGTCCACGGCAAAGCAGATAGTGAAGGACATTAGCCACAGCATGCAGCTCCAGGCAAGGACCCCCTCGGCCTTTGAAAATGTTGTTTTGAGACAGGGTCTCACTATGTAGTCCTGGCTGGCCTGGAACTCACAGAGTTGCACCTGTCTCTGCCTCCTGAGTGTTAGCATTAAAGGTGTGCTCCACCAAGCCCGCTCCAAAGAGCTTTTCTGAGCACATGGGACCATCATATATTCATGTCCTCTGGCTACCAGGCCATCTCCAAGACAAGAATGATAGGACCACAGGGAGGCCCAAAACAAAGACCTGACTCAGGCTGGAGCTCAGCCTATCTCAGTCCCCTGAGAAACAGGTTTCTGGGGCTTCTCCTTGCTCTGCTCCTTGCCAGACCTCAAAACCCCACCTTTGTAAATCTCTCCATCTGCCTGAGGCTCCTTGTTTCCCCATGGGAGGCATCATGAAAGGGGACCTGTGGAACTTGGGGAGTGGAGGAGAGTCACGGGTCTATGTGTTGACCATGGAGCGACAAACCATCGGACATGGAGGAAGGGCTTCTGAATGAGGAGAAATGGACTATTGATGACCCCCGAATCGGTTCCCCACAAACGGGAAATTGACCTTCTTTTAAACTCTCATGGGGAAGTTGAGCATGGTAGCTCATGTCTTTAATCCCAGCACTTAGGAGGCAGAGGCTGGTGGGCCTCTGTGAGTTCAAGACCTGGTCTACATAAATAGTTCCAGGACAGCGAGTCGGGGCAATGTAGGGACTCTTTCAAAATAAAAAATAAAAATAAATTAAAAAAAGGTCCTTGCCCTAATCTGCTATTCTGCTTACAACAGTCCCTTCTGCATCTTCAGGTACCCCTCCCTGTAGCTGTATTAGCAGTAACTGTCAGCTTTAGGACAGCCAATCAGGCCCCAGAACCAAGAAAGATGCCCTCTAAAGAGGGGCTAGCAAGAATGTGGAGCCCAGGTGCCTTTCTCAACCTCTAGCTCTGCCTTTTCTTCTTAAGGAAGTTTTATTTATTTATCTTATGTGAATAAGTGCTTTGCCTGCATGTATGTCTATGTACCACATGTGTGCCTGGTGCCCGCGAAGGTCAGAAGAGGGCATCAGATTTCTTGGTGCATGAGTTAGAGATGGTTGTGAGCTACCATGTGAGTGATGAGAAACTGGGGTCCTCTGCAAGAGTGCTAATCAGATCCATCTCTCCAGCCATCTGTCCTTTCCTTCCCTGTAATAAAGTACAGCCCGGTCTCCTCTGCCTCCAGCTGCAAGGCTGGGGAAGGACCTGGGCATGGGGAAAGAATGACCAGGCATGG